TTCCGCTGCTGGCTGGATCTCAGGAGAAGGAAAGGCCATCATTTATTTGAGAGACGTGTTGTTAGAGCCATCAAGCCCAGTCCTGTCAGTGGTGAGAAACGCCAGGCCCTGAGAAAGCTGCGGCAGGGAGGCAGCCCCAGCTCTGCTTTGCTCGCCTGGGCTGGGGCCCTCAGCACACCTTCTCTGAGAAGCAGCTCCTGCCCATTGCAGCCTTGCTGAGCTCTTTCGGGACGTTTAGTGCTGGAACAGCTCGTTTCAGGACTGCGGCGGCTGCTTTCGGGCAGTGCACTCACCAGCACGAGCCTCTGCTGTGTGCACTGGGAGATGCTGGCAGCTCGACACCTCCCTGCCCCCGGGGTCGCACTCGCCCCTCTCGGCTTTGCCTTAAAGACAGGGGTGGGTGCTGTGTGATCCATGGTCTGGGCACTGCAGGTGGGGGGGGAACCGATGGGTTCAGTGACTTCACCTACGGACAGAGAACAAGCCTGCAAGTCAGAGACGTTAAAACCTAAGAGTTCTTGGCTTCTAGCCCTGTTCAGCCTCTGCTCAGGAGAAAAGGAACCTGGGTCCTCCTGTAATGAAACTATTTCTGTCTTTGTGCTGTAGGTGCAAAACGCTAGCGATTTGCTGATCAAACCTTTGGAAAACTTCCGGAAGGAGCAGATAGGGTTCACCAAGGTAAGGCTCGATTCATTGGTTGTTTTAAACAGATTTGTTTCCTATTACTGTGTTTGAATTCAATTTTTGCTCCTGGTTTCTGGTTTTTTTTTTGGTTGCTTTTAAGAAGCAGACAGTTGTTGTACTACATTTTGACTTTCAGAAGCTTCCCCAGCTAATGCTGGCTTTCAGCTGCTGGCACGAGGCAGGCCGGGCTGTGACTTTTCATCTGATTTTTCAATCATAAGAGGCTCCAAAACCTTTTCCTGAATTCCTTGGGTTCTCTTCTGGCGTGATTCCAGCACTGACTCCGTCCTGAGCGAGGAGTGCTTCTTTCAACCGGTGATCAGGAGCCGCTCCGTGCTGCTTTCCCCCTTCTCCCCTTTGCTCACGCGCTGAGAGTCGAACGCTTGCTGCCGATAAGCGCGTGTTAGCGCAGCAGAGCCCGGCGCTCTGGGCGTGCTTGTAGTCATAGGGCTTTTGTTATGAAATATTTAAGTAAAGCATCTAATGAGCCTTTCAGATGGACCAAACTTTTAAGAAACAAACTATAAAAAGCAAATCTTGCACATGTTGAGCAGAAAAGATTATTTTTCCCTTGTCTGCTATCAAGAAGTCCAGGTTCCACATTACTCGGCGGCAGCTTGAAATGGTGCTGGCTCTGAACCAGCTCAGAAATGGAGATGTTTTGGAGAGCACTTGGGGCTTGGATTCAGCCCAGCCCATCTGGAGCTTTTGACGTTTAATAAATACAGGATTTGAGAAACGATACTTGATCACCATCCTGCCCTTCAGAATCCCCCCGCACAACTGCGCGTGTGGAAAGCCTCTCTGGGCAGCAGCGTTTTTTCGCCTCGCCGGCGGGTTTTGCAGCAGGCCTCAGGGTTACAGGCACGTGGCCGTGGCCATTGCCGAGAGAAAACTCCCTCCTGATTGATGGGTCTGCGTTAACGATAGGGCCAGCGCATGCTTAGAAAAGAGTCGTGGGGATAAGGTCAAGCTTATTTTCCCCTCTGTGTTTATGGAACACTTAAGTCAAGAGGGCAATGGTCTGCAAATGTTAGGGTGACAGTATTAAAGTGTCCTTCGGGCTGTTTTCTTCTTGGGTAGCCCTTAAGGTGTGTAAGCATTACTTTGCCAGCAGCCCGGAGCACGCTCTGCTCCGAGAGCCGTGCTGCCTCCCGCCCGTGGGTCGCATACCCTGCCTCCCGCTCCGGAGCTGGCCGGGGCCCGGCTGGCAGGCGCGTGCCTGGGCAGGGTTGGTGCCGTAGCCCCGGCAGCGGGGGGTTCTGGGCGCTGGCAGCTTACAGCCCTTCCCCCGTCCCTGCTGAGGGCGCAGGGTGCTCCGGGTGCAGACGTCTGGCAGCGACCGTGGTGGGACGCCGTTCAGAAGCAGAGGTGGCAGAGGGTAGGGATTCGTATCGGGTGGCTTGGAGGACATTGTGGTTTGGCTTTGGTTTTTGATTCTTACGAGGAACACGAACTGCAAAGGTTTCGGGGCACCGCGGTGAGAAAGGGCTCTGCTTCACATCCCGCCACGCTTGCAGGTGCCCCACACTGGCAGGGGACGCACGGGGGGGCGACGCTTTCTCCCGTGCCACCCTGCAGCCTTGAGTGGGTGTGAGTTTCGGAGTGAGCCCCAGCCCGCTCCAGACCCTTGCCCTCACCTCTGATGCTTTCCTGGCAGGAGCCTGCCCTACGCCGCTGGCCCACATCCCGCTGGGCTGCATCCTCTGGATGTCGCCTCGGGCACAAAGCCTTCCCTCGCTTGCCAGCCTGCAGAGCTGCTCGGGTCACTCGCATCCCCCAGCAGAAGGTGTGAAATACAAATGAGGGCTCCTCACAATGCTGCTCTGTCAGCCAGGGGTCCCTCTCCGCTTCTGCTGTGCCTCCGCCGGCTGCATCACCCGAGTGGATCCTTCCCAAGTTACACCAGGGGAGAGAGGCCAGGGCCGGGCTGCGGAGCAGACCAGACACATGACACAGAGAATTTGTGCCCTCTGCTTTCGTTTCCCATATTTTGGCAGAGCAGCTTTCTGTGGGATGTTTTCTGT